AACTTGTACGGCGAGGGCAAGCTCTTCGTCCTCTGCCTCCTGCTCGAAGCCCTCGGCTTCAACTTCGGCCACCAATTCCTTCTGCACCTCCATCGCCATCGCGACATCCTCTTGGGCCGAGGGCTGCTCACTTGAAGACCCCGCGTCTGAGAAGCTTTCCTCTTCCATCGAGGGATGCCTCGATATGTCCTGGGAATCGCTTTGAGAAGACATCTACGCACTAGCTCGAGGGCTCGGAAATACTAGAGTTTTCTAAAAATTCTATCTCCTAGCCTAAGGTCACAAGGCACAGCTAACTACAACGAGAAGAGCAGGGGGGAACTGACCTTAGGGCAGGGATTGATCGAGGGCTGCTGTTTCTCTCTCTAGAAATTTTGGCAGAGCTTCGCTATAATGATTTCGCACAAGGGGAAGGAAGCCGGCCATGGGGTATTTATAGGCGCTGGGATCCGGGCTTGGGCCTGGAAACCGGGCCTCCGGTTGGACTGCCATCATTACCAACCGAGGTTCCACCCAATCGATGACGCCCGCCCACGGGCAGCCAACGAGCACGCACCACGTGGCAACCCCCTTCCCCCCCCCCCCCCCCACGGCTATATCCTGACGTTACATATTCCAACGGCTATACTTCCAATGGCTATATTCTGGTAGCCCCCGGGCTTTTTGCTTCACTCCACTTCATCAGGGAAAGCCTCCGGGTACACTTACCCAGAGACGCTCCCGGGTTGTGCCCCACACAGTACATAACCGACGCCTTCGGGATCACTCCTTCAGAAGCCCAAGGCTTCATATCAGGCCACCCCTCGGGGATCCCCCCTCAGCACTGTAAGGGCCGGGTAGCCCCCGGGGAGTATGCCTCATTGACGGATAGCCTACGGCACACAGGTAATGGGAGCCCTCGGATATCCTCATCACCAACTAATCAACAAGCAGGGGACACCCCGGTAACAATTCAACTACTACCCTCATCCATCACGCCCTCGATCCCCAGATTGAGGGACTCCCCTTCGGCACCTCCCAGGACATCAACAACAAGCCTCCGGCTAATCAACACATGAGCCCTCAGAACAAGGAGAGCCTTCGGCATTACCATTATTCTCCATTTTGATCCAAGGTTTCACATTTTCGATTCATCGTTGGGGGAATTCGGTGCACTCTTTTTCCCTCATTAGTATTTTTTTCTCACAGGGTTTTTCCTAATGAGGTTTTTAACGAGTCATCCCCCCAAAATGAAACGAAAAGCGTCAGCCTTCGGCCCACAACAGCAGCGCAACTACTCTACTCCTTTTCACCACTTTGCAAGTGCCTCAAGGAGTGGGGGACTGGAGGACCCCCTCGGGAAAAATCACAAACATGACCCCTCAAGTCCCGACATGTGGGTAACTGAGGGACTGCCCTCGGCAGAATCAACAAACAGCAAACTACCCACAACTCTACAAACTACAAACGGAACAACGACAGAGGACAAACACTATTACTCCTTTTCCCTCAAGTACCTTTCGGCAAAAGGAGTGAGGGACTCCTGATGGAGTATATGGCCCGGGAACCCCCGGCCCACAGACTCCTACTACTCCAATCAAGGCCCAACAGGCCCAGAAGGCCCGACAGGCCAAGAAGGCCCAACAGACCCAAATCACAAGCGCCCAGAGTACCAAGCAGCCCACAATGCGCACCAGGGGTGCCTTCGCCCCCCTGGCCGAAGGCTCTAACTCTCACAGGAGGGCCAAGACAGCAAAACAAAGTTACTGGGAAAACAGCGAAAATCAGTAGCCCTCGGCACGTGGAGCCCTCGGCACCAAGGGGGTCCCCGGTATTCAGATCCCTCGGCTGGTCCTCTGCAGCCGAGGGCACCTTTCACATTTTCGATTCATCGTTGGGGGAATTCGGTGCACTCTTTTTCCCTCATTAGTATTTTTTTCCCACAGGGTTTTTCCTAATGAGGTTTTTAACGAGTCATCCCCCAAAATGAAACGAAAAGCGTCAGCCTTCGGCCCACAACAGCAGCGCAACTACTCTACTCCTTTTCACCACTTTGCAAGTGCCTCAAGGAGTGGGGGACTGGAGGACCCCCTCGGGAAAAATCACAAAAATCACAAACATGACCCCTCAAGTCCCGACATGTGGGTAACTGAGGGACTGCCCTCGGCAGAATCAACAAACAGCAAACTACCCACAACTCTACAAACTACAAACGGAACAACGGCAGAGGACAAACACTATTACTCCTTTTCCCTCAAGTACCTTTCGGCAAAAGGAGTGAGGGACTCCTGATGGAGTATATGGCCCGGGAACCCCCGGCCCACAGACTCCTACTACTCCAATCAAGGCCCAACAGGCCCAGAAGGCCCAACAGACCCAGACGGTTGCACGGTATAATTTGCCCATGAACACCTAGAATTTTGAGAAATATGATAGTGTACATGTATAATTTTAGTTTAATTATTTATGTCTTTTCAAATTTTAATTATAGAAAAATATGAACACCATTAAATTGAATCATAGATCAGCTACTCCTATGAAGTATGAACCGAACTGATCTCGGGCCTTGAGGATATGAGACAGAATGTCTTCATCCCAGCCCATACCATCTTCCTCCAGCGGACCCACCACACTATGGCAGATTACCCTCGGATTCTCCAAACTAGGGTTGGATTCGGTTCGGGCCACCCGGCCCGTGACCCGGCCCGGCCCGGCATTGTGCGGGCCCGGGACCGGCCCGATCGGGCGGTCCGGGACCGGGTATGGACCCGAACCGATGGGAAGGGACGGGGCGGGCTCGGTTCAGGATTATTGTGACCCGGCCCGACCGGGTCGGGCCCGGGTCCGGGCCTCTTTTTTAAAAAAAAATTGGTTGGTTGGGCTACTATCTGTTGGGGGTGGGGCTGGGGACAACCCAAACGGCTATATAGCCGTTGGGTGGGGTAAAGGGGGGGTCCGGGGGGGTTGGCTGGTAGGAGGGGGGTGGGGGGTGGGGGGTAAAAAAACCTATAAATACTCCTAATCTTAAACATTTTTTCATATCTCTTCTCCAATTCTTCCTAAATCCTATTCTTAACTCTCTACTCTCTAATTCTCTTATTCTCCAATATATTATATATCTACTCTCTAATTCTCTTCTCCAAGAAGTTAAGATGGAAAATCAAGATGCCATTATACGGTATAATTTTGATAAGCAGAAGGACCCGAAGACCGGGATGTGGTACGCAATTTGCAAATGGTGCGAAAAAAAATGTATCATGGGGGCTTCAGGCGGATTCGGGATGGCAATCAAGCATATGAAGTCATGTGACAAAGCCAAAGGATCGGGAGGTGCGGGAAGTTCCGATTGATTACAATTTTCAAAATGTTTATCTCTTAAAGTTTGTTTTAATTTTCAAATGTAGTTCCTATTTCATTTCAAATAAATGCAATTGAAGTTTGTTTTTAATACTCGTATAAAACTATAAACTATAAAATATAAATTATAAAAAAAAAATTAACCGGCCCGGCCCGAATCAGACCCGACCCGTGACCCGGGCGGGTGGCCCGGCCCGAACCGGACCCGTCCAACCCTCGGGCCGGTCCCGGGCCGACTTTTCTTGAACCGGCGGCCTGACCGGGCCTAGGCCCGGCCCGGCCCGGACCCGACCCGGCCCGAATCCATCCCTACTCCAAACTAGGAAGCGGCCATGATCTTACTATAAGATGAGTAATACACTTATATATAATACGTTAATATATATATGTATATATATATATATATATATATATATATATATATATATATATATAAGTATATACTAAGTATATGTAATATGTAAATATAAGTAAATAACAATAATATACTCCCTCTGTTCCGAATTGAATTGCAAACTTTGACCGGCACAAGGATTAAGAAATGACAATAAATGATGTTCGCTTTTACACTTTTGTTCATCTTGCTAAAAGTAGATGACTTTAAATTATTGCAAAAAAGGAAAAGTAAGGGTAAAATTGTCATTATATTCTTATTTACATAGCTAAAATAGAAAATGGAAAACCATTTTGGGACAACCAAAATAGGAAATTTTGCAAATCAAATTGGGACAGAGGGAGTAATAATTAGATATTAATATAAGTAGATAATAAGTAGATAATAAATTTTATAAATATAATATATGTAGTTATAAATTTGAGAAGATGAAGATGGAGAAGATTAGTAGAGAATAGAGATTAGAGAGTAGGAATATTTGAAGAAGATGTGTGGTAAATTGTATAGAAAAAATGGAGTATTTATAGATTTTTTGTACCGCACCCCCCACCCCCCCAACCCACCCCGAACCCCCTGGCAGGCTCCCAACGGCTATAGAGCGGTTTGGGTTGAAATACAACGGCTATAAGGCCTGTTTGGCTGCCAAAGAATTTGTTTTTTAAAAAAATAGTTGTTAGGCCCGGACCGGGCCCGAACCGGCTGGGCCGACCCTATTTTCCTGAACTGTGCCCGAACTGCCCTACCCCCTCGGGCCAGTTCAAAGCCTGAACCGCCCATAACTTACCCGGGCCGAGCCAGGCCCGCACAGTAGCGGACTGGGCCGGTTCCGGGCCGGGCCGGACCGGTTTGATTCATCCCTACCCACCCTCCACCTATTATATCATTCGTACTTTGAGTTTCAAGCCCTCAAGGATAGTCTTCCAAATAAAAGAAGGGTTAGAGCCAAGTCTAGTTCGAACTTAAGAACCGAATAAAAGTAAGAACCACTGCTTATATCGATAATAAAAGCAAGAACCAAATCTTTAGTTTTTGTCCTGTTTCATAATGGTTCTTGAATCTTTATATAGGAACTGAACAGATTCCACTATATAAGTTTTTATATAGGTTCCTCTAATTTTATACGAGTATAAGAAAGTCCCAGAGTCCCAGACTCCCAGGTCTAAGCACCACCCCATCAATTCCAGAACCAGGCCCACCCAGATTATCCATACGGTAACTAGAAGTGTCATGTTGTTGATAAAATGGGTAAAGTATGGATTATTGAGATCAATTTCACGTAAAAGTAATGGATCAAGTATACTGAAAAGAGATAAATAGCACAAGAGTTGGAATTGTTTGTACACAAGGAGCTTAGATAGCTCCTTCAATGCAGCAACTAAACTATGCATCTGCTGCTTTAGATTTCTTCTTAACTACAACGCTTTCCTAAATACAGTCCTAATAACACCATCGTGCTTTAGAATAATTGTATCTGAAAATCCACGTTACCGAAAGTGTAACGTTTGAACCAAAATTTGATCTAACAGATACATCGGCCATTTGAGGATGGAGGGGAATGAACAAATGAATGAGAGCTCTTATCTGACATTTAGGGAGGTATGTGAAGGACATCTTATAGTAATAGACAATAGTAGCAGCAGCAGCAGCAGCAGGGTGAGTCTGATACTTCTAGAACAGAGATTCATCTGCTTTCGGTGATGTTAGAGTTGCAACACATTTGAACTGTAAAAGTTAAGAAATAATATTAATAAGATAGACATTGGGTACAAGTTACCCAGATAATAAGATAGACATGAGTTAGAATTCCATTTTATGAAACTGATAAGTAAAGATCATCTGCAATAATATGCTATGGTGCGTATTATAAGATCCATAAGGATGCACTACTCCCAAAAAAAATGAACCATTTTCTTTCCCAGATGTGCATTCTTTTATACTTTGGTAAATTAGACCGGGTATAAATCATTACGCAAACTTATAGTGATACTTCCTCCCCAAATTATCTTTACATTCGATTAAGAAAGAAATTGTGTTGACATTATTTTTTTCCTTTCCTAAATGTCTCAACCACATGATTCCATTAACGCAACAAGCATGTGAAATATAAACAGCAAGCCAAAAATAAATTTGGGGGATGCATAGGGGTGCATTCTTTAGACTTATCTTGGTTTAATTTGATTTAACATATGTAACCTATTTATGACTTTCCCTTCCAGCAAATTACAGGAGAAATTAACTTTATTGATCAGACATGGCTCTTTTTTTCGGACAAAGGAGTTTTAGACGGAAGACGGAGCATTGATGTCTTTGATAGATCATAAGAAGCAAATTATTTTGATATGTATCCTATGATCTCAACAATCTTGTTCGAAAATTTGTACCAAAGATGAAGTATACAGTGTACACCGGTCACCGGGTTTATACTTTATAATAAGTTACCTGAGGTAGTTTATACTTTTCATGTATGGCATTAAGGGAAGACCCCTTGGTGTTCAGTTGTAAGTCTTGCAAAGCTGAAACTGTAGTTTTCAGCTCTAATGCCTTGTACCTGGTGTAATGCTCAAGCGTAGGGTTCTGCAAGAGAAAACCATTTCTCAAATATGAATCAATGATTTAAGACCATAATAGCATGCACTATAATGAAATCAAACACTCCTGCATTTTTGTTTATTGTTCTGATGTTGCACAAATTTTTAAAATTTAAACCATGGGATGATAGGGGTATTGTATACAACAACATCCAAGCCTTAGTCCCGAAAAATTTTGTGGTCGGCTAACACAAATAGATACATGATATCAGTTTCAGAAGGAAAAGAAAGATAAAAAAAGATAAGATATGATAAAAATATAATAGATAAAAATGACACGATGAAAAGGATAAAAGAATATATGTAAAATAAAAATGATGAAAGGATAAAAAAACATAAGAAACTCAAGTCAGTTATCAAGCTTTTTATTTTCCAAAAAGGGAAAATGAAACAAGTATTTGATTACATCCTTGAACAAGAAAGTGGAACAACTGATTGCATTACACATACATTTGCTGCATTGCATTTTATTACGCCTTTAAAAGAAAGCACTTAGAAATATGCAGTAAGGTGGAAAATATGCATACCCATGGGTGTTCGGACTGATCAAGAGTCCACCTTGCAAGAAATACAGCAGAAGCAGCAATAAGAGAAGGGAGAATCTTAAGGAAACTATAGTCAACAAGAGTCAACTCTGCCAAATAATTTGCCATGAATTCCAATTCAACAGAAGGAACCTGCATTTTAGAACAGTTCTTCTTAAGGTTCTATATCAACACATCATTGAGAACATAAATGCGCACAAATGAGTCACTCCTTTATAATTTACTACCTGATAAGAAGTCTGTGCTGCTTGAACGAACCTCCTACGAATCAGATTGTTTTACAAAAATATATGGTGAGACCCAGCAAACCAAGTAAACAGAGTGTTTGCTAAGGACAAATATCAAAGAAGTAAATAAGCTAATTTTAGTACCTAAGGAATTTCTTGGTTGTGGGAGTAGAAAGTTGGAAGTCCAAAAGGTTAAGAACATGACTCTCCATTTTTAAAACCTGCCAAGTAAATGAGCCTTTCGACATGACACAAGTCTTAAGATGGAATACACAAAGTTTCATTGAACATTCTTTTGATGCATGGATTATACCACCGTTATGCTCTATGCTTACAACCATTTTCTGGAAATAAATCAAGAGGAAATAATAAAAGATTCTAGACTTGAATGATAACAATAAACTATACATATTATCCACATTTGTCATCCAAAATAGATTTTTAGGAGTATACCTCTTCTCTCGAGTATGTATTGTCTGTAATGCAACAAAATTCTTCGACACGTGGTGCACAAATTTCTTCATATTTTCTAAAGGACAAATGAGTAGGGGAGGAAAATGTTAGTGATACAGAAAATACTGCAAAAATGATGGAGGCTCTCAATGCTGCAACAGACAGTGATGGTCATCGCATTATTGCATATGAACCCACTAGGATGGTTTTATTCTAATCCATGTATGATGTGTTATGTATAATAACATTGACATACATAATGATATGTTAAAGAAGTACAAACACAAATTCAATATTTTATTTTGTGATAGTTGAAAGCTTTGGTTGTATTTCCATTTTTATTTTTCATCATCATTTTCAGGATTTTAGCACCTTAATCCCAAATTATCCATTTTTCTTTTAATTAAAAAAGAGAGTGCAAAATATTTCGATAAATCAAAAAGGACTAAGAGTACATACTCTACTATACTAGACTCATGTTGGAGTAAGACTATTACAGCAAGACTAGGTCTGATACTTCTATATTTAACATATTCAGCCATCAGCATCTAACAGAAAAGTAAGAACTTTAACTAATTATGAAGCTAATTCCAAAAGAGAGTGACTTTTGTAACGTGATAGCCTTAGCTCCATCATTTCAAAACCCCAGATGAGTTTCTATTGAACTTTTCAACCTAAAATCTAATTGTAGGGCGACCCATGCATATTTGTGCCTAATCATCTGCAACATTTTTCCCTTTACATAGCTGAACTCAAGAGGAATAGCCAGGGAAGCAGGGAATGAAATTTTCTCTTAATGTGCGGACAGTTGCAAACAACATGAAGAACTTACGAAGCAATTAGCATGCATGTAACGCCAAGCAGTTGCAGTTTTCGTTTCTCAATGTAGTTTTCTGAGAGAAACCGATCAATAAGATTCACTGTCAAATAAAGGGTGTCTGGAACCAGCTTGTATTCTTCAGAAACCTGAAAGTTAATACAAATAGGAATCAACATAAACGATTAAACGTAGATAAAATAAATAAATAAATAAATAAATAAATAAAAGAACTATTATCTGATCAAAATCTTATGAGCGTAAAAATAGTGGGCACCAATGGCCCTATACTGACATTGAGCCTTTTGAAATGACCTTGGATTTCAAAAAGACAACTAAAGAATGAGATACTAGCACATAGTTTATTACTATGTATCCCTATGCTGACATTGAGCCTTTTGAAATGACCTTGGATTTAAAAAAAGGCCAACTAAACGGATAATGTACTAGCACATGGTTTATTACTCTATCAATAATACTGTTTAAGTAAAGAAGGGGTCATGCAGCAAATATCAATGTGAAGATGCAAAGTGTTACTGAAGACAATCATGAGAATGTGTAGCAAATAGCAACATCAAAAGGTACAACTTACCTCCACAAGCCAATCAATCAGAATGCCCCGCATACCTTCAGTAATGTCTCGCTGAAGCTTTTCCATGTAATCAACAGATGGTCTCCGGTCAAGCTGACGGAAGCAGCCAGGCAAGTGGATAAGGCAATAGAAAAATTAGAATGAAATTATATTCCAAGATGTGGTGTTCATAATACATCAATGTTTGAAGACTACTGGTATAACTATGATCAGCAATGAAGTTTATACAGACCTCATTAGCATGTAGATTTGCATATATATCAGCAGCATACAGAGTGCACATTTGTGGATCCATGTGATTTGTATCTATATCTGTAATTCCCAGACTAGCCAAGTCATTTATCTTTGGGCACATTTTGCCATCATCTGCAACAAGTAACTTGAACAGAATTAGCAATTATTGAAGTTTATAAGAAACCGGAGAGATGCTCTAAACACCAGACATTACTAATCAATGCAAATAGCTGAAAATCCATGAGCAGATTGCCACATTGAAATAGGTGGCTTAATAGATTTGTTAGATCTACTAAGCGACATAAAACCTAGCACAGAATGCATCGAAAAGAACAACAATATTTATGTGTTGCATATTTTGAATGTTAATAAAATGTCTTACCGATTTGTGGTGTAGACGGCTGTGGAACAGTTTTGGAGTTGCACTTCACTAGTTGCATAACACCACATACCCTGCTTTGCCCTATGGTGGCACGATTGTTTTGCTGCAGTGATGCATTCTTCTTACAGTTTGTGTATGAACTACATTCTGATTTCTCAACCTTCAATTTGTTTGGTTCTTCAGTTGTACTTTCCTGCATATCATCCGTAACATGTGGCCTTTTTTGACCTAACACCCCAGGTATCACCTTTGCATTTTTCTTGTGTGGAATTTTTTTATCCTGTCACCATCAAACTTATTCTCAACCACATACGACTCTCTAGAGAAAGGAACTATTCAGTTTCTAAGAGTAGAGAAATTTGAAGAAGTTTTTTACTGCCAAAAGAAAAGGTACCTGAACTTTAGTTCCAGCCATACAGTTCAAGTACGAACTGTCACAGACTACATTAGTGACATTTCTAAGAGCAGCTCTTTTCTTCGGTTGAACATAAGAAGGGGCACCACTTGGTGGAATGTTTTCATCTGATGCTGCTCTTTTGCAGCTTGCTCGCTGAACCTGTTTCCCATTCTCTATGCCTGAAGGATGTAAAGGGGGCAGTCCATCAGAAGAGGCAAATGTTTTAGCCCTAGAGCGTGTGATTCGCATCGACTGCCCACCAACATTTTGCACATTTGCATGCCTCATTGCTTGATGATTCTTCCAAACAAGTGTGAGCCTTGTCAGATCTGAAACTCTGTTACAACAAACCTTATATATAAGAATTAAAACAATACAGATCAACTAGACTAGGATATTGATTTATTTGGGCATGCATATATGAAACAATGAGAATTGAGATCTCAGCCAAAAAATCACACATTTGCAAAAAAGCTTATCAAGCTATTCCAGACGCAAACTTTCCGTGCAGAGAAGGAAACTTCATGACATTTGCTTCTTTCTAATTAATTGATTGATTAATAAAACTGTTATCAGAAAACATCAGGTGAGCTTACTCCGCGCTGTCAGCTCATGCCCAGAGATGAATATCAATGGCGGACAGTCCAGAGAGGAGATAACGCACCGCTCCCATCGAACACTAAGGAGGCAGACGCAGGTAGTGTGAGTAAGCTAGTGAGAGCGAGACTGTCACATCCGACGGGTCCGCCATTCATATAGAGCTGCGCAGCTGGGTGGGGGTGGGGTGGGGTGGGGTGGGAGAGATGGGCATAGGGGGAGCGTGAGAGCGGGATTGATTTGTTCAAACTAGTTGGAATCCTTAAGGCCTAATTGCATCTTGATCCTTTTATTTCCGATTATAACATTATTTCCCTCGATCGGTTTATGCATTGCATCCATATACCCTATGTGACTTTGTCCAATGTCCTTTTTGTATCTCATACTGCGTAATACTCCGTAATTATAAGGAAAACAAGTAAAAACAATTCCTTTTTTGTCACAAGGCCATCAATTTAAACACCATTACGGCATTACTAATATGATTCTATTTTTTGTATAAAAATTAATAGTCGATGTTTATACAAACATAGTAAGATCTTGATGTTTGAAAGGCTTAAATAGTTTTCCAATTATAAAAAGAATGGGAACACTAATAGTTGCAGCTATTTGAGGTTATGTCATAATACCAATGTCATTTAGCATTTTCAAAAATAGTACTCCATAATTATTTTTCGAGCGTAAAAATCAATTAGTTATCGTCTAAAGTTATATTGTTCTCACAGTTTGCATCACTATGTTATTATTATTATTATTCATCTAATCAAATTTCATACTCCGTATGGCAGACTCTCAATTTGGTCCTCGTACAATCACAAAACAATAAATTAGGTCCTCGTAATTTAAAAAAATCAATCAAATCCCCAAACTTTGTAAATACGTTCAATTGAGTCCATTTGAAGGATACTTGCCATGTCAGCATGTCATTCGTTGATGTGGTGCACGCGCGGTGTTCCACGTGTGCACCACGTCACCACCAAATCACTTACCGGACTCCCACATGTGTGCTACGTCAGCAAAGTCACTGTTGATTGGGCTGACCTGACAAGTAACCTGCAGATGGGCTAAATGGAACATTTTTACAAAGTTCGGAGATTTGATTGATTTTTTTAAAGTACGATGATCTAATTGACTTTTTGGTGATAGTACGAGGACTAAATTGACAGTTTTCCCTACTCCGTACTATGTATTATTTTCAAATTAGGATGACATTTCATCCCTTGAGAATCCCCAGAATCGTCCGAACAGTTATTTCGAAGAATGTAAATTGAGATTTGTTCACAGTCTGATAAAAAAAGAGTGAAGTTTCATCCCAAATCATTACTTGGAATTGAACTTGTGATCTCTTCCTTTGTGGCACCATATTCCTACTAGGTGAGTTACACCCCGATCTATGTATTACTCTCAAATTCTATGGAAATGACCTTTAACATCCATTTTTTAGTAGAAATCAATTAATCATCATAATTGTAAATCATAATTGCTGATCAATGTGTTTTCTTCTTAGCTATTCATGAAACAAAACAAAAAAAAAATATCGGTGATTAATGGGAGTAGCTCCAACAAAAAAAATCACAAGTAATTACTAATGACATAAATCAAACAAGGATGTTCAAAATATGCATTCTAAAAATTCTAAGCATTTCTTAATCACGGGCATAAATTTTTATGTGTAATTCATTCAGCTCAATTAATTTCAATAACATTCTTTCATCAAGTAGGAAATAAGTTGAGCAATAAAACGGCTTCTAATTATGATTATGGATTATCTTGACTTTGAAAAACATATATTTTAGAGAACTTTTACTATATTTTTCAATTACTTTTCAATGTAAAAAGTAGATGTGATTATGTGAAATTGTTAAATTTCACAATTATATGAAGTAAATGACATTAATGTTATAAAGAGTGAGGCAAAACTCAAGGGATAAATAGGTGATTTTAAAAATATAGGTTTGAACTATTATTTGATCTCACCTAAAGAGGACGATAGTAATTCACACTAAAAGGAATGTAAGAGTAAGGTGATTTATGTATTATACTTCATATACATATTAAATTGATATGTGAAAAGGCTTTTACGAGTAATATCCATATATTTTACTACTTATATTGAGTCACCAAATAGTTATTCATTATAAAATTTCAAAAATCACAATGGATGCTATATTATCAAAAGAAAAAAGGGTCAAATAGGCCCTCCAACTTACATAAAAAGGTCAAATAGGCCCTCCAACTTACATAAAAAGGTCAAATAAGCCCTTATATATGAGGCTCTGTCCGGCCGTCGCCATTTGGAGCGGTTCCCGGTTGAATTTTTTGATCAAATTTTTTGAAAATCTTATTCATTAAGTCTAGTTTACTCATACCAAATTGCAGCTAAAACTTCAATCGAGAAAGCATTCAAATGAATTCTTGAAGATAACTGCGCAGTTAAAAGCGCAGTTATCTTCAAGAATTCATTTGAATGCCTTCCTGATGGAATTGTTAGCTGAAATTTGGTATGAGTTAACTAGACTTAATGAATAAGATGCTCAAAAAATTCCACAAAACAATTCCACCGGGAACTACTCCAAATGGTGACGGCCGGAAAGAGTCTCCTATATAAGGGCTTATTTGACCTTTTTATGTAAGTTGGAGGCCCTATTTGATCCTTCCTTATCAAAATACAAATAACAAATGTCTAACTATCCTCTGTTTCATTTTAGTTGTAACATGCAAAATTTTACATTATTCACATATATATTATACTTTGACAACATTTTATTTATTAATGTATGATAATTATGTTTTTTGGATTTTTTGTTAAATTCATCTCACTGCAAATTTTCATAATCTGATTTTTAAATATTTTTTACCAATAGAGAATTAAATATGATAACTGTGAAAGATGTGTGTTGGCATCAATTGTGAAAAATGGAAATGTTGCACATAAAAAAGAACGGTAAAAAGTACCTACTTTCATCATCTCTAAATAATGTACTCTTTTTTATCTTAAGATAATATTTCAATTTTTTCTAAAATAACACAACATATTAACAATGGCATATTACATGAATTGGAGTGGGTACAATGATATGATAGTTTTTGGATTAGATGAAAGAGTATGACTTTAGAATTAGTGATGTGGAACGAGAGTATAAGATTGGAGGATTGATATCTCTTTTATTTATTTATTTATTTACTTTGCTTACATGTGCCAATTTATGTTAGCTGACACCAAACTATTTTAGAAATAATGTTGGGATGTTGTTGTTGTTGATTGTATCAACGATAATAATCCCAATTATTCACTCACTCCGCTATTTTTTTGCATCTTTTCTTTTTATTCGTTCACTAAATTCGACTCAATATGTATTCATTAAATCCACATGATCAAATTCATTCATACATTCATATTTGATACCAACTGCACAAGTACATTATACTTTATATGTGCGTTACTTCTCATGTCTTAGATGATTGAACGCAAGTAGTACAACAAAATCTCAAGAAGGGAAAAACATGTGGGTATGTGTTTACAAATTATTACTTTAATAATAGAGTTAAGCGTTTTTGGTCAACTATCATTAAATTTTCTTTGTTGACGTGATTACGAAAAATCAGGCTTATGTTCTTTAATGATAAGAATCAACACTGAGATTATGTCAATTTACGAACATAGTAAATTAAACTCGCATATGATCATGATTAGGGATGACAATGGGCGGGTTTGGAGAGGGGGTTCACTCCCTCAACCATCATCCAATTTCTAGATAAGTTCATCATCCCTGCCACGTCCCTCGTCACTCCTTAGCCTTGCTTCGTCCCACCCTCGCCCTGCCAATTGGCTGTTGCGAGTACCCTCCTTGGTTAATTTATTTGTCTTATTATTTGCACACTGTGTATATAAATCACTAAATGATTTATTTGTGTAATAAATTATTACACAAATATGTATATAAATCATTAGCTTCAAAAGAGCTAAATTATATAATATTATGTACGATAACAATTAGTGCGACCGATTTCAATATTATGTTATTAACCTTTAAAGAGAATAATAGCAAAAATATGCGTAAACATATTGCGATCGTGTATATAAATCCATTTTTACATTATATAAAATAAATTATTTATGTGTGCGTGTGTGGGCATCATACACTCACTTTTTCACTTATAAAACATATGTAATGGTTATGATAAAAGGTTTTTTAACTTCATTAACATATAGCACAGATCCTAATAATACATATTAGCCGTGAAGAGTAATGGACATCCACATATTACATAACACTTAAGGATTAATTATTACTTTTTATGATATAATATATAACTAACTTAATTAGTAGACACATACACTGATACATGCACATGTGTGTCTGTGTATGCGCGTTTGTATGCATTTGTTATATATATATATATATATATATATATATATATATATATATATATATATATATATATATATATATATATATCATACAGTTATAGGTTTATATTTCTGTATTGTGTGTGTGTTTGGGTGTGTGTATATAATATAGATATTTAGCGGGGGCTGAGTGAGTATGGTGTTCCCCATCACTCCCTCCATATTTTAGTGTGTGGGAATATCTCACTCATCCCCGCCATATCCCAAACCCCACCATATCATCCCCTCACGATGCAAGTGGTTGTGGGCCCTTGTCCCAATTGTAATTCTTTATTATGGTTGTGACTTATATTTCCACCCCTATTATCAAGCACTGCTTACGGATAAAAGGAAAGTGATCATTTTCAGGCACTTTTTTAAAAAATGCTTGAACAAGTCTTAAATCTAAAAACAAATCAAAACATTATGCTAAATTACTCATCCCAAACGCAGTGGTACCCGGGCAATGACATCCACCACTGGTGTCGCACGCGAGCAATGAGATTTACGTAACTTACGTACACCACCCCCACTACTGATAGTTACATAATTTCAATTATAGTTGCATTGCTCCACCCAATGACGCTCTAATCACATTATTATGCTCCCGACCACTGACACTGCCGTTTTCACAGGCCAAGCGCCGCAATGACATTGATCCGCCTAGTGACACTTACATTGGTCAACCCACCACTACCTCTCACTGCCTGTAACACCCCGCCCTGTAGGGCCCGAGTTAGTTACTCATACACACCCTCCAGACCTCTAGTACTGTCCTCACAAACCGTCATTAGTCT